ATAAAGTAAAAAAAAAAAAAAAGATTCACAACCATGGACATAGGGACTAATAAACAGAAATTTTAATCCATATATCTAAACCAAAGAAAAAGCCACATGCAAATATTGGCCACAGACAGTACGATTGAAACAAAGGGAATAAAATTGATAAAAAAATAAAGAATAATTATAAAACAGTAAATAAGCTATTCTGATTGTCAATTTTGTTCAACAGAATAATGGAGCGCGGCCCATACTTCAAGGCTTTGGCAAGAACAAACTTTGCCTGTGCAAACGGACCTAAACAAGCATCGATCCACAACTAAAATCGCTCCTTGCAGCATGCAAACAACTCGCTCGGTCAACCTATAACCATCACAAAATAAAGCTAAATAAAATAATTCAGAAAAAGTTCTGTCGCTGACATTTTGGAGGGAGCGCCTAGATGTAAAGCACATTAACCACTCCAACTCTAGGGCCTGTTGGTTTTACTTTGTTGCACTATCGCATATTTGTTTCCTATTTTTAAAATCCAATCTTATTATATTAGATTATTTTTAAACCCCCATAAATTTATTACTTTAACTAAACACCCTCAACAAATTTTTTTTTTTATAAATTAACAAAAACACCCCTATACATCCACATTTGCCAGACTCTAACCACCACTATTGAAATGTTGACTAGAATCTATTATATTAACGTACTATTGGCTGGATCTGACAAGTAGTGTACCGATTTGGCTTTTTCTAGCTAGATCCACCTTGGATCTGGTTGAAAAATATCAGATCTACGACCAAATATCTGGCCGTTGACGATAGTCATATCATTGGCCGTCGTTGGCAACCAGATATGGCCGTAGATCTAGTATTTTTCGACTAGATCTATGGTCTTTGGCCACATCTGGTTGTCAACGATGACCACATTGTTAGCCGTCATTGGCAAGCAGATTTGGCTGTAGATCTGGTCATATCAGCACACGACCGTCTAGATGGTGTGCCATTATGCTAGATTTTGACCACCTTCCAAAGTAGTGGTCGAAATTTGGCAAATGTGGGTGGGTTTTGGTGTTTTTATCAATTTATAAACTTTTTATTGTTGGGAGTGTTTAGCTAAATTAACAAATCTATGAGTGTTTTTGTTAATTTTTAAATTCTACCTCGTAATAACAACCCAACTTTACTTTTTCAAAAATACTACTCCAAATAATAAAATAAACATAACTCTAATAGACATTACTTTTTTATTAATTTTCAAATCCCACTTTATAATAACAAACTACTAGGACTTCAAGATTTTGTCTTTCTTCATTCACTTCATTTTTCAATAAAACAAAATATACACTACTTTTTTTATTCACTAATATATATAAAGATACACAATTAAGAAGAATATGGCCTCCATCTCAAATTTCAATAACACTACGGACACCGAAAAAATTACACCGAAATTCTATACCAGCCTACGTGTAATGCGCGTCTGAATTTTTTTATAGTGAATGGCCGTCCATCAAATTTGGATGGCTATTGACTCACATGGACGCCCGTCCATATTATATGGACGGGCGTCCATATACAAGGGACGGGCGTCCCCATTTAAAGGACGCCCGTACATAAATAAAATATAATAAAAAAATTTGTAAAATATTATGGACGGTCGTTCATAGGTTGTGGACGGCCGTCCCTTAATTTTAGACGGGCATCCACGGACGCCCGTCCAAACTTAATTTGTTTTAAAAAATAAAATAAAAAATTTAGATGCGGGTCCATAAATTATGGACGGGCGTCCCTTAATTTGGATGGGCGTCCATTCGTCCCTTACATTTGGACGGGCGTCCATTCCAATGGATGCCCGTCCATACTTTTAATAAAAAAAAAAAGATTTAAACAAAAACTCGTTCTTCTGTTGCAAAACATCTTCGTCTTCATTCCCCATCTCCTTTCTTTTTCTTCGTCTTCATTGCCAATTGTGCAGTCCATTTCACTGCCTCAAATAATGACTGTGGTCTCTCTTTTTCTTCATCTTCATTGCCAGTGGTGCAGTCCATTTCACTGCCTCAAATAATGACTGCGGTGTCTCTCTTTTTCTTCATCTTCATTGCCAGTGGTGCAGTCCATTTCACTGTCTCAAATAATGACTGTGGTATCAGAGATTTTGATATGGAAAAGTATCAACTCTCTAAGCATTTTCGTTTTCCTTGGCGAGTGAATGTAAGTTAGTTACATTCAACAGTCCATCTATCCGTATAGTATGTGCTGCCTTTGTTGACATGGAGGGTTTTGTGCTTCATTTTCTGGGCAATATATGAAGCATTTGCAGGCTGAAGCTTTCAATTGAATTTTTTATTTTTTTTTTATTTTATGTTTTTGCAGCATACTTCGCTAAGTCCTGATGGTAAACTTCTAATAATTGTTGGAGACAACCCAGAGGGTATGTTGGTGGATTCTAACACTGGAAAGGTAATTATCTATACTGTTGTCCATAAATCTTTTTCCCTTCCTTTTTTCATTTATTTTTCTGGAAGCTGATTAAAAAAAATGACTTGGTGTCTACTAGTGCATGTATATCTAGATCCTTCTTCTTCTTCGTCTTCATTCCTCCTCTCTTTTTCTTCCATGCTGATGCAAACAGGAAATCCAAGTGCCCAGACAACTGATTGACGGTCTTTTTTTTTTTAATTAAAAGTATGGATGGGCGTCCATTGGAATGGGTGCCCGTCCAAATGTAAGGATCCAAATTAATGTCCAAATTTTTTATTTTATTTTTTAAAACAAATTAAGTTCGGATGGACGTCCCGTATTTGCGGACGCCCGTCCAAAATTAAGGGACGACTGTCCACAACCTATGAATGGCCGTCCATAATGTTTTGTAAATTTTTTTATTGTATTTTATTTATGGACGGGCATCCTTTAAATGGGGACGCCCGTCCCTTGTATATGGACGCCCGCCCATATAATGTGGATGGGCATCCATGTGAGTGGATGGGCATCCATGTGAGTGAACGGCCGTCCAAATTTGATGGACGGCCATTCACTATAAAAAAATTATAAAAAAATTCAGACGCGCATTATACGTAGGCCGATACAAAATTTCGGTGTAATTTTGTCGATGTCCTTAGTGTTATTACTCAAATTTTTATTTCTTAACATATTAGTTTGCACATGGGGACACGTAACGTTAATTTTGTGTCAATGACACGTTGTGGAACTTGCTTAATGGGTCAATTTCGGTTTTTTTGTTTTCTTTGTAGATTTGGTCAATAAATAAAATTTATATCATTATCCTTGTACATTTTTCAGTGATTATTAATGTTGGGGTCGACAGTGTGTTTATCTTTGACTCGATTATAATCATTTTGACATTTATCACATTTTTGTTTTCTGTTTCGTTTATTAATTTTACAAATTAGATTTTTAATTTATATTGAAAAGAAGATAAATTTAATCGTACCGACGTAATCTATCTTAGGATAATATAAATTTAATGGAGTGACAACACACATTTCATCATTTTCAGGAGATACTTATCCTGAGAATATTTCTAATTAGTTTTTATAAGGTATTTTTGTAATTCCAAAATGTGAGGGACCTAACATGCATGAGTCATGACCATGCCATAAAAAGGGCACTACGCAACAGGCATATTTACCACTTAATTTAATTCANGGGAGTTTCACACCCAAAAGACTAACCTATTAGGTGGAGGGACTCCCCCCATTTATAAGCCCAAGACCTCCCCAATACGCTTTCAATGTGGGATTTGTTACATTCTCCCCCACCCAATCCTGTGACGCCCTCGTCACAGGTGGGGCCCCCTACCTACCCATCCACTTCACTCTCGTGTGGACCCACAATCACACGTGGACGCCCCTACGTGGGCGCTTGACGGGACATCGAAAGACGGATTGGGTCTGCTCTGATACCACTTGTCACGGACTAGAAGTTTCACACCCAAAATGCTAACCTATTAGGTGGAGGGACTCCCCCCATTTATAAGCCCAAGACCTCCCCAATACGCTTTCAATGTGGGATTTGTTACACTAAGTAGGCTTACATTTTCAACAGAACTAACATTGCTTCTTTTTTTTGCATTCACGTAGCACTTTAAGCTCACATTCTGAACACATCGTTTTTATGGTGCATTACTATCAATTTATTGGAAAATGGCAACATGAACATTTATTAGAAATCATTAAACGGCAAATTCCAAAATGCATATTTGCATTAAGCTTTTATCTTAGTCTATTGAACCTTAAGTAATTTTATTGTTGGCATCCAATAATTCTGGTTGCTTTTGCTGTTACAAGTGAAAGTACTTCTCATATGGACATCAAGATTTCCCATACTGTACATTATGAAGGGGAGAATGGTGTTTTGAATCCGAGGCTCATTCAATGAATAATTCAAGAGTAAGAGTGAATTTTGCAGTGAATTCCAATCAAGATTTTGGGTTGTGGGAGTCGGGAGAAATTTTTTGTTTATCTATTAGCTCTGAGTAGAATGTATAGATCCTGGGTTTAGGCCGAGCTAACTTGGGTTTTCTTTAAAAATGCAGACGCATAATGAGAGGGTTTAGACATTTTACTTAAAAAAATGATATATCCACCGAAAAATTACACCGAAACACGTGAAGGTCTCCACGTTGGGCGATTGAATACTGACATAAATGGACGGCCGTCCAACGATTTCGGACGACCATCCATACATTCTGGACGGTCGTTCATAGTGGAATGGACGACCGTCCATAAAAAATTGTTTTGTTTAAAAAAAAAAAAAACAATGGACGCCCATCCAAATTTTATGGACTGGCGTCTAGTTAATATGGACGCCCGTCCCTTACGTTTGGACGGGCGTCCATTCCGTCCATACTTTAAAAAAAAAAAACCATTCTAAACACCTCTTCTCTTCCTCGCTTTCTTAGACTCCAGTTGCTGCTCCATGCCCAACTGCTTAGTTAATCTAATAATACTGTGGAAAAATTATACCGTCAGATAGAGCCATTTGTTGTGGACACTCCACCAATCAAACAAGATTTGCCTGGCTTCTTTCGGTAGTTTTCCCTTTTTTCTTCTTCTTAGAAAACTCATGCTTCAAGGTGCTAACATAACCACCATATTTACGGAAGAGTTTGTCCTTAAGCTCACAGTCCACGGGTGGCATCCGGGAACATTCAGGAGCCTCACTCTCACCCCCACTATAATCTTCATCAGATGATCCAACACCTTCATCTACCAACAAGATAGATATTAATAAATAAGAAAATGCCAAACATCCTAAACATATTCATTTACTTCTGCATTGTCCACGTTAAAGAATCATGCATGAAAGATGCTTATTTTTCCACTCAAATACTTATCCATGTAGTTTTCCCAAACCTGCCAATCAGCAGAAACAGTTCTGAAAAAAACAAACATTTAAAAAATTCAATTGAAAGCTTCAGCCTGCAAGTGCTTCATATATTGCCCAGAAAATGAAGCACAAAGCCCAAAAAATGAAGCCAAGGAAAACGGAAATGCTTAGAGAGTTGATACTTTTCCATATCAAAATCTTTGACACCATAGTCATTATTTGAGGCAATGAAATGGACTGCACCACTGACAATGAAGATGAAGAAAAGAGAGGAGATGGGTCTGTGAAAACAAAACAATTAGATGGACGCCCGTCCATAAGGGATGGACGAGCGTCCATCCCTTTTGGACGAGCGTCCATTACATACAGACGGCCGTCCTTACACAATGGACGGGCGTTCATTCATTGTGGACGAGCATCTATTCCAGATTTTTTTAAAATTTTTATATTTTTTTATTTCATTTGCCAATGGACTGACATCCTTTAAATGAGGACGCCCGTCCCTAGTAAATGGACTCCCGTCCATATAATATGGACGAGAGTCCGTGTTAATGAACGGTCGTCCATATGTTATAGACGGCCGTTCATTAGAAAAAATTTAATAAGGTAAAATGCGTTGATTGGTCTGAGTCAGTATACATGTAAGTCGGTACAAAATTTCGGTGTAAAATCGCTGGTGTCTGTAGCATTGTTGTTTTACTTATTAGGTGGGCTTGGAAAATATATTTGGGCGTTATCTGTTATTTGACAATATGAAAGGTGGTGGATGTATTTTTGGGGTATACACGTGGCAGCGATCTTGACCACCTGGGAAACCGTGGACCTGTACGGATTCCGCATCTCGGTCGCCCGACCCTCTTGGCCGAATCAGCTTGAACATCCAGAAGTATGTTCGACACGCGTCCAATATTCGCCCCAACAGTATACTAGGCCATTCGATCCGTCCCACCGACTAAGCTTCTCAGGTTAGGAGCCTTCCCAGGCATCTCGCACTCAGCCATCCCGGAAGGCCCGATCGATCGACGCATGAGCTTGGGGTAGCCCGGGTTAAACTCTTCAGAAAGCCATCAAGCCTCGTCCATTTGTCCGTCCGAGACGAACGAGTGGTCAACATGTTCGGTTACCCCACCTACCTGGTCGTCCCAACAGCCCGAACGAATGGAGCTCCTCGGTGAACTTCCTGAACTTCGCCCGATCCGGCAGGACGAATAATTGCCCCTTGCGCGGTTTCCTTGATAATCGCGCTGACGTACTGAGCGACCTTACCTAGCTTTCTGCTCTTCGGCTCGTCGAACCGATCAGGCACACCGTGTGGTGGCGTGTTCTTGTTCAGGAATGGATACCGACCAAGATCCAATCAAATCACTTGCGGCGGTCAGCTCTCTCCAATGATCGCTCGTCCATGAGGAAAGAACGAGCTCGCCTTGAGCGCAACCTACTCTCTGACTTGAGATACTCTCAACTCAGAGAGTGGGGGACAAACTGTTAGGGCTAAAAATCGTCCTTGGCCCAAATAGGGAAATATGACCATTAGCGAAGACAGACCAGGCCCAGTCCTACAAAGGCCCAAGCCAAGTTAGTTCTATTTTGACATGAGGTATAAACCGGCTCAAATCACGCAGGCACGAGCCTCTCAAACCTAGTCCATTTCCTAGGTCCACGGACGAATCCAGAGCCCATAGCCCTTTCATAGTACTTTCCTACTCCTAATCAACCTCTTATTCAAGGACGCCTTCCTATTCCTGATCACTTTCCCACTTAGCGAATTCTCTTAAACAGGGTTACCTTCCTATTTGGACACTGGTAAGACAACTCACCACGACCCTAATTCTTCTAGGGTTTACATCGGAGTCACATTAGGACTCCTGCTCCCACCAGGATTGGGAGACCAGACGACCACTATATAAGCAGAGGCCAGCCCTCTCACAAAGGACATCGACATTACACCTTCACACCCGAGACTCTTTACTCGAGAGTTTCACTTATTCGCCGTAGTCACAGTCCTCGACTAGACTTCTGGTAATCTCTTATTCCCTAGCCCTCACTATATTAGCCTTTCAGCCTTGCTGACTTGAGCGTCGGAGTGCCTACGGCAAACACCACCCTAGTGTTTCCCGTTCGCTTCACGCGTGTGTTTCTCTACGTGTGCAGGTACAGCAGATCGCTAGTGGCCTCAACCTCCCGGGATCAGACCCCTTTTTCCGTACAGGTAGATTTTTACGTCTACAGTCATTAGGAAGAAAAGCTGTAAGGGGAAAACCACAAGTACCCGTTAGTGACGTAAACATCTGAACCAATAAATGCAACAAGCCCAAGGAAAGGAACAAACCTTGCTCTAATCCGCAACCACTTGGGTTAACAAAGTGACCTGACTCTGCTATTTATACTCTTCCTAGACAGACCCAAGAACGTAGTCAAAAAGGGTGCCCAGCGAAGCCCAAAGATGATCTGGGGGCTTTCTCATTGCTTACAGAGCCCTTTGTAACTAAGGAAGGCGAGCCCTTTAACAAACATTCGAGGGCTTCTTCTACTCCTCCTAGCCTTTTTATCCTCAAAGAGGTCGACCATCAGGGCTATTCCCCAATCAACGACACCACCTGGAGTGCCCACCTCTTGGCAATTATGAAGCCACCTAATAACAAGAACCATCTTCTAGGGCCTAGCCTGGTCGAAACAGTTTAGCCAAGACGTAGGCTTATTGCCACAGTCCGCAAGCCACCAAGGAGGGATTCTGTCGCCATCTCCTTCTCCTCCATCGTAGGTATGGAACCTGTTAGAAGATGACATTTGCATGAAAATGAAACTTCAGTCAGATAGCGAAACGTAAAAGAATAATAACAATGATAAAACCAGGGAAAAAAGGTATACCAACCTTGCCTAATTGTAATATTCTGTATAGCTAGTAGTTCATTGGAAAAATATAAGTAAAACTCAATAACATGTAATGTAATAGTGGGCTCAAAATAATTTAACTTTATATACAAATCTTTACACCAAGTAATAAACTCACAAAAAAAAAGTACAAAGTAATTCATTCTCCTCCATTACTTGACATTCCTCCCGAACTGCATCTCATCTATTACCTGCAAAAACAGTGAAATCAACAGAGTGAGCACTAACAATACTTCTATTGTTTTTCCATTGCTCAGATCCTAGATTTTCTTTCCTTATACCAAACTTCTCAATTCTTCTATGCTCTTTCAAAGATTCTAGTTTCTCACTTATCGATATGTAAGCACAAATAGGGAAACAAACTCAGGGTAGTAGAAATGGCATGATGCATATGCACAAATGCATACAAAAATTTCTATGCAATGCATTTTCTTTTCTATTTCAATTCTCTCTTTTTGCTTTCTCTTCTTTCTTTTCTGTTTCTCTTATTTTCTATTCTTTCCTGTTTTCTATTCTTTCTTCCTTTTCTTTTCTATCCTTTCTTTCTTTTCTTTTCTATTCTTTTTTTTTTCTTTTCTATTATTTCTTTGCCGATCGGACTCGGTTGAGGCATGGATTCGGAACCTTGACCGTGTGAGTGTATTCTCAAATTCTTTCTTGGGTACAGTCCTCATCCACATGCACTTCTTACGGACTGTACAAATTATTCTTTCTTATTCTTAGGCTGCTCACTAAAGGCAGCGTGCATGTGGGGATATTCTTCTTCTCTGTCACTTATGGGTTCCCGATCGCAACAACCTTCTCTTCTCTTATCTTTTTATATTTCTTTAAGTAAAATTTTAGATTTGAGGTATTCTTTAATTATGTTCTTTAGATAATGATTCTACAATTAATTTCTTTTCTTTCTTTCTCTTTATTCTTTAATGTTCTCATACATGTATATGTGCATGTAAATATGCTCATTCTTTGCTATTCTTTCTAAATGCAAATGCTCAAACGTAAGAATGCATTATGGCATATAAAGATATCATTATGGAATTAGTATTCTCTACCAACAACATTTCAATAACAAAGTAATAATCTAACATAATCATATATATGCACTTTCTTTGAAATTTCATCAAATACCTTACATGCTCATACAAACCTTAAATTGGTTACAGTTTCACTTATTTCTCAAGCCACCAAAATTGGAGCAAAAACTCCCTAAGGCCAACAACCACCCTAGCCGAATTTCACCTTCCACCCTCCACATCCATTCTTTCATATTGCATCAACTCACATGTACGAATATATCACTTCTCATGGCCATAAGATTCACATATCAAACAACCTCAATTTAAATCCATAATTCTCATCATCCAAACACACATACAACATATACAAAATTTCTCTACACAAGTATTTATTCAATCAAAATTAAAGTTGGATTTACTTACCTTGAATTTGAGCAATTCCAACACTATAATCTCTCTTTGGTAGAATTCCCCTTCCTCTTAACCCTAAGCATATAAAACCATAAGAATTCAAAACTTTAAAATTTAATCTCACATTTTGGTGCAAGAATCTTACCTTTGAATGCTTAGGATTGAAAATCTATCAAAATCTAGCCAAAATCCTAAGAATTTCTTTGGAGATTTAGTGAAGAAATTTGAGAGAATTTGGGGTGAAGGTGGCATGAACAATGGGTGGAGTGGCTAGGGTTTCAACTCTTGAACTCTTATTACTACATAATAATATATATAGTTTCCCATTTTACCCTTGCACTTTCTAAAAATTTCATCTATGTCCCTTAGTTAGTTACAATAATGCCCTCATTTCTATTATCTTCTCTATGTTATTCTACTTCTTTTCATTCCCCACTCTTTCATCAATTATGAGTGGAATGACTATTTTACCCCTAATAACATTTTAAAGAATTTCTTTAACACTTGTCCAAATAACTCTAACAAGATTCAACTAAAGGTATTAGAGCATAAATAAAATTATGTATCTTGATGTGGGTGTCACACTAATAATCTCCGGTGTCTCAACAAAGGTTATGAAGTAGGGAGAAGCAAGTATCTTTCTAAAAATAAAGAAGCAAAAGCGACAAAGATAATAGCCCTAAATGAAACGACCATATTTATAGATGGAGAGGAAGGCCAACAATTGGCCATCATCATTATCATCGTTTCATTGTACCTACAAAAAAGGTATAGGCGTCTCCTCATTCCTTCCAACCGCTGTCATTTCCAACGCATTCGTACTCATGGGGAAGGTAAATAGATGTGCAATCATTCATTGCACTACCAAAGAGTTAAGTGAAAAGGCCTTTGATGTGACCAAACAAGGCAAGGGAAAAAGTGTCAAAGGTGACACATCACATAGAAAAAACAGATCCGATAAGATAGATGTAGCTTTCCAAAACCATTAGACGCTGAAGCTCGCAACCCATCTGACACGCAGGTCACTACAAAAGAGTTTTTGAAGCATAACACTGCCCTCAAAAAACTGGGGGTTTAATGTTGTGCCTAATTTCCTAGTGGTTAGATTTGTGCTATGCGTCCTTAAGGTGTATCAAAGCCTGTCAACCAAGATCATCCCACGTGTCGTCCCATCAGTGCTTACCTTCTCTCACAAGGTAATTACTGTCATAAGCATGGGTTAGGTTGTTATTAGCAGAGCCTGGTCTATCATAAGCATGGAGATTACTAACTCAGATCCTGATTAAAGGGATTATGCATGCAAGCAATCCCGTAATACCTAGTCTCAACTACTGCCAGAAGGACCAAGTATAAAAGGAGTCCATAGCCTCCATTTCAAGAGAGAATTCCAATCTAATAAAGTTCAAGAGAAAAACACACTCGTCTGTGTAAGAAAGCATTTTAAGGGAGAAGGTTGCGAGGGCTAAAGGTCTTCCATTTAGCTCATGCACATTTCCTTTGTAACTTCTCTTTGCCCTATAACATATCTAAGCAATAACATAACAATAGATGTAGGCTTGGTCTTTATGTCGCCGAACCACTATAAAAATCTCTTTTGTTCTTTACTTTTTTATGTCATTTTTATCAACCTTGTTGGTTATCAGTAACCACATGCAAATCTTGTCTGGCCCCTTCTGAGGTTGACTAGGTATCTCTGCTTGGTACAAAATTTCACATCAATCATTTGTTATGAAGATATATTAAGATATTGGAGGATATTAAAAATGAAAATCATAAAACTTAATAAATTCGATTTCTGTTTGAAAAATAATATTATCAGTTCTTCCATGACTGCAATGGAAATAATTTTGGCAAAAAGTTTAGGCCTTTAGAATTAACAATTACATTTGTGGCCAAGCTTTAAACTTTAATGGCAAAAAAAAAAAAAAAAAAAAAAAAAAAAAAAAAAAAAAAATGATAATTGAGAATGCACAAAAACTTTTTCTATTAGGCTTATTTGAGACAAACCCGCCTTTGTTTATTTAATATCTATCATTGTAATTCAATAAGTTATCCATGCCTCATGCCAAATCTCTTGGTACCACACCAACACAGAGTAAAATCTCTATACATGGAAAGGCTAAAGGAGCTATATAGATTTTTCAATTGATGCAAAGAAGTGGACAAAAGCCTTGTTCTAATAGCTTTATTTGTGTATTATCTACCTACAGCCAGGCTGGCCTAGCTGATGAAGGCTGCAAATTTTTTGATAGCATGTGTAAAGAGCATGGTATTGAAGCAAGGATGAAGCATTATGCCTACATGGTGACCCTTCTAGGTCGTGTTGGAAGGCTAGAAGAGGCATATAATATGATTGAGCGAATGTCTTTCAAGCCAAACGCTTGTGTTTGGGGAGCTTTGCTTAGTTCTTGTAAAGTTCACGGTAATGTGAGTATAGATGAGGCTGCTGCTAAACATCTCTTTGAACTACAACCTACAAATTGTGGGAACTACATCCTTCTATCCAATATATATGCTTCCAAAAACATGTGGATTGAGGTTGATGCAATGACAGATATGATGAAAGCTATGAGTTTAAGGAAGAGTCGTGGTTGTAGTTGGGTTGAGGTAAAAAACAAAGTGCACATGCTTCTTGCTAGAGATGAATCACATCCTCAGATGGCCCAAATCATGAAGAAGTTAAATAAATTAAACATAAGAAATTGAAAGATTTTACAAAAAAAAAAAAAAGAAAAAAAAAGAAAGGAAATACTAAGAGCAAAGGCAAGAGATGAACGACGAGGGAAACATGCAGACTGTAGTGTTCAAGGGCTTGTTTGAGAGATGGCCACGCATCTTTGTTATCGTGACATACCGAGTCGAAGAATGCTATGACCATGGTGGTGTTCGATCCAATTGGCTGACTCTTGTACACAAAACCATCGTACTTTGTTGGCGGCAGTGACTAAGCTTGAGCGCTCCATTTAGATGAATTTTTCAGAACAAAACACAATACCAAAGTTGATTATAATATTAGAGTTACATGATTTAATTTGCACATATTTTTCGCTCTATGTTCCTCAACTTCTCTTCGCTAGAATGGATGGCAAGAAACAAGGTTTTATGTATCTATTTATAGTTAAAAATAAATAAATCACATCCTTGTTATTTTTAGCTTTTATTTATTTAACTTAATTGTACGCTACCCTTTTTTTCGTATTCTCTTGCCTTTTGAGGCAAACTTAACTTACTATTGCATGAACAAATCAGAGATGCGTTAGAAAAATAAGGCTGTAAAAAATGATGAACTTGATGAAACAAGCTCTTCCTCTCTTTGAAAACATTCAACGC